TTTTTTTTTTTCCCCAAAGCCCCAGTAGATAGTTGTATGTCATAGTTGTACATCCTTCTAGTTGCTGTATGTGGGATGAGGCCTCAGCATGGCCGGACAAGCGGTGTGTCGGTGAGCGCCTGGGATCCGAACCTGGGCCACCAGTAGCGGAGCGCGCGCACTTAACCGCTGAGCCACGGGGCCGGCCCTAAAATGTGTTCTATCTTGAAAACATTCCATGTGCACCTGAAAAGAATATTTTAAAATACGTATTTTGCAGTTGTTGTGTGTTCTACAAATGACAGGTCAAGTTAATTGACAGTGTTACTCAAATATTCTATATCCCTACTAATTTTCTGCCTTCTTTTTATTAATCACTTGCTCCTTGTTCTTGCTTACTGAAACTCCTATTTATATAGAAGTTGGACCTTCTAGACTAATTCTCCTTCTTATCATTCCATACCTGTTTTCCATTTCTTGGTCTTTTGGCTCTATACTCTAAGGGATTTCCTTCATCTTCTAAGTTATATACTGAATTCTTCATTTTTACTCTTGTATTTTTAATTAAAAAAAAAAAGCATCCTGTTCTTATTTCATGGATGCAACATCTTATCTCTCTGACCACGTTTAATTATATTTTTTGAAATCTGTTTATGCTCTCTCAATAGACTTTTTCCTCTGAGCTCTTTTTTTCTGTTTGTTTTGGTCTATATCCTCTTGTTTTTCAGGTTTTCCTCAAAAGTTTGGTGATCCTTGGATCTGTTCAAATTTAAGGGAAAGGTATCAAAAATTGGACTGGAAGCACTATATGGGGGCCATTCCATTAAGCCATGATCATGAACACTGGTAGGGATTTTTCCTTCCTTCCAGGGCTTGTCAAATCCCCCAGAGAGGACCTCTTTAATCTCTTACTGGGCTGCCCGTTTCTCTATATGTTATATGGACTTTCATTTAGTCCTTGGTACAGCATCCTGTCTTCCTCTATGCCCAGTGTCCCTGAGCCCAGAGCTGCTCTGGTTGAAACTCTCCAGAGAGTAAACATCAGTTTTCTGCTGTAGTGGCAGAGGGGCAGCTGCACGGCTGTGTAGGATGAAGATAATAATGTACAGCTTTTGCTTCTTGTATAGACTTTCAGCCAGTCTTCCTGTTTCCCATATTCCCTGTGTTCAGAGGTACTCCATTTCTAATTCCTTAATTTTTCTAGAAATCTGTGGTACAAACTCATTTTTTGGCTCTTCATCCTCCCAACTTCAGGTAAAAAACAACTAACAAACTAAAAAACTTAGTTTTTGTTTTTTCAGGTCTCTTAAATCAGCACTCGTTTCCAAAGTTCTACTGATTATACCTGTCTGCAGTAGTTTTGTCTGTTTTCTTTAACTTATGAGTCTATACCT